AGCCTTAAGCTACTAATCTTGCTTCATACTTAACTATGTTACCGTTTTCATCTTTTTTCTTTTTAAATACCCACCTAGTATTAAGTGGGGTTTTATCATTAGGTAAATCAGTTAAAACCCACGTTTTCTGTGCTATTAACTCGTTTATTTCGCTATCCATAGCTTTTTCCCAGTCTAATTTATTAGGTGAATTAATAGCTTGTTTATAGGTACTAGGATCGTCAATATTAGTATTTAATACCAATATATCATTTAATTCATCTTCTTCGTTATTATAATAAGTAATAGTAGATAATTTACTATTACTATTATTAATATTAGCATCTTGTTCTTCTATAGCTAGTTCATCTATAGAATCAGAAGAATTAATATTGCTATTAATATTATTATTACTATTAATATTATTATTAACACTATTATTTTCAAAAGAATTAGATATAGTGTCTATATCTATATTTTCAGCGTTAATAGTACTAGTTTCAGTATTATTAATATACTTATAAGGAAAGTTATTTTCTATAATAACTAAATCCCTGGCCCATAAGGGTTTATTAGTTTCTAAGCTCAAAACCCTATATTGAGATGAATTTATACTAAAACCTATCAAGATACCTTTAATACCTCTAGGTGATAATTTAGTTAGTTTATTAGTTTTATTTTCATAATAAACTAAAGATCCAAAAACCCTTAAGTGTGAAATATTAGGTTTCTTATTATATTTTGATTGGTACGGAGTTTTATAATTAATAGAACTATTAGGGGTTCTATTATATAAGTAAACTGCAGTACAAATAGCATCTCCCCAGAATTCTAAGGGTAAATAGCTGTTATATAATATAGCCCTACCTTTATTAAGTAAAGTTCTATTTATTCTTTCTGCAGTACCATTTTGTTCTGGTGTATAAGGACTAGACCTTTGATGTATTATAGCAGAATCAGCTAATTTAGCTGTAAACCTACTATTAACGTATTCAGTACCATTATCAGTACTTAAAATAGTTATTTTTTCATTATTAGGGCTATTTGCCTCAGCTATTAATTTAAATAGCTTAAAAGCTTCAAAAGCTTCATCCTTAGTAACTAATAATTTAATTTCTAGATATTTAGTATAATTATCTAGAAAAGTTATAAAATATCTTTGATTATTATAGGTTTTAGGTCTTATAGGGCCACATAGATCGCTATGGACTTTTTCTAAGTATTTAGTAGTCCTATCCTTATTAGATATTTTATTTATTTTATTAGTTAGGTTAGATTTAATACAAATTTCACATGTAGTGAAATTATTAGGTTTAAAAGGTAGGTTTAAACCTATGGTACTATTATTTAGTTTATTTAAGTGGTTAGTACTTATATGTCCTAACCTATTATGAATAAGCATTTCATTGGTTAGAGTATTTAGTATATTTATATTATTAGTATTATTTTCTAATACTTTAATAGGTAAATAATATAAATTTCTCTTTTTACTAGCTTTAGTTAAAAGTTCATTATTTCTTTTAATAAAAGCGTAGTTTTTGGTAAAGGTAGTAGTTATATTATTATGAGTACTAAGAACTCCCTGACTTATTAGATTAATACCAATTTGAGGCATGTATAGACAGTTTTTAAGGAGTAATTTAGTATTAGTATCTATAAATTTAATATAACAGTCTCCATGTAATTTAATCGTAGTTGTTTTTGCTTTTCCCCAGCTTACTTGTTTATCACAAGGTTTTAAGGATATAAAATAATTTTTATTAGTTATGACATGTGCTTCTGCAGCCGTATCTAATACAAAATTATATATGTATATATCCTTATTTTCCTTAATATTACTACTATTATTTTTATTAGTTATAGTAGTATTAAGTATATTAATAGGGGAATTTACCTCGATAGCTGTATCAAAGTCTTCTGAATAATTAGATGAATTATCATCATAATTATTAGTTTTATTAGATTCTGAGTTAGAATCTGATATAGAGGCTTTAGTATTAAAGTCTCCAATAATAAGAGCCCTATTTGGTGGGCTATTATTGATTTTATTATTAGGATCTTTAGAGATATCCCAGTTTTCAGGGGCTAAGGCTGGATTTAAGTAAAAGCACTTATTAGTATTATGGCTAGTAACTTTGCAGTTATTACACCATAATCCTTTAGTCTTTTTCCAGCTGTTTTTGCCCTTAGTTACTTTATAAGACTTATTATTAGGGTTATTATTGTTTTCATAATATTGCCCTTTTTTATAAGTTTTATAATTAGTAACTAGTATTTTTGTTTCTTCTTCCTTAGAATTAATTCTCTTAGATTCATCTATAATACTACTAATTAAAGTAGTTATAGTATAAGAATCTGATTTATTTCTAAGGTGCTGGGTAATATTAGATATAAAACCCTCGAACATATCATTATTAAGCCCATTTAAAATCCAGGCTAATAATAGGTCTTTAGGAATATCTAATTTTCGAGCTTCTAGCTCATTAGATATTTCTCTAACCTTATTAATATATTCTTCAATATTATTATAATTGGATAACTTATTATTTAGGAAATCCTGAAATAATAGATTATTTGAAGTAAATCCTTTAGGATTATAGGTTTCCTTTAATATGTCCCACGCAGATTTCGCAGTTTCTGCGTGTTGGATTTCTATAAGAGGACCATCTTCAATATATAATGATATTAGGCTAAAAGCCTTTTTTGTTTCCTTAATAGTAGGATTTTTATCCTCTACATCAGGATTATCACTATTATTATCACTATTATCATTAACAGGATTTTTTATAATAGCGTGGCTTAAATCTTTAGTAATTAGACAAGCCTGCATCCTGACTGCCCAAGTAGTATAGTTTATACTACCCTTAAGCTTAGGAATAGAAAGGGACTTATTATTAGAAGAGTCCATTTTTTAATATTAATAATAATATATTTATTATTATTTATACTAAAATAAAATAAAACTACTTAATTTTATCTATATAAGTAGATTAAAATACGACTGATAGATGCGAATTTTAAAGAATTATAAGACTGATAGATGCTTATAATTCTATATATTCCTTTAATATAAAACATAAAGATCTTTTATAACAGGAATTATATTTTAATAAAAACCGGGAATAGTTTTATTAAAAGGTTATCTATTTCTAGATATATAGTCCCTTTAAGACTTAAAAAATAGGAATAAAAGTTCTTGGAAGATACTCTTTTAATTCCTGATATAGGATTTCATTAATACCAGGTTCTGTGGTATAATAAAATTCGAAATCCTCCTTTTTTGATAGGTTTAAATCGGGTATTAAGTGAAAATAAGTGATATAATCAGGTATTTTTTCGTATTCCCAGGAATCAAAACCCCTGGGTTCATAACCTGTAAAAGCGTGTATAATGGAGGTAATGTTATTAAGAGTAGGGGTAGTATTTAATATAATAAAAGGGGGGAACTTTTCGTTTTGTTGATTATTATAATAGAATTCCTCGTATTCAATAATAACCATTTATAACCAGTATAAATAGTTATTACTAATATAAAAGAAATAATACTAATAATAATAGTGAATAATAGAAATAGGTAGTAGTAGTTGAATAGATAAAACTGTTGAATTGCTTGCTTCCTCAAAATCTGTTCTAAGTGGAAAAATCCATCATATATATAATACATTTTTTCCTCGCAAACCTTTACTTAGTTAAGTAATTACTTAATTAGGTAATTACTACGATAGCTAATTAACTGTAAAAACCTTATTATAAAGTTAATTATTACGGCTTTATTTTATCCGATTTGGGTATTCTAGATCCGTAGTATTATTATAGTTATAGTTTATAGATTTGTTGCGGGTTATTAGTTTCCGTTGTTTTGGTTTCAAATCTTAACTTAATATTAACTTTTAAGGAATTGTTATCCCGTTAATATATACTTTTTATGGTAACTAACCTAATATATAGTTTTTATTCGTTTTAGCTAATCGTAGGAATTACTATAATAAGTAATTTATACGATTGCACTTTTTGTTTTAATTAGATAACGTTATGGTTACTTTATTCCTTTTAGTTATATTAATATGTGATTAATAGTTATAAGGATGATTGTTAAATTATTAGGTGTAGTTTTACTAGTTACACTAGTATTAGTAATCTTAGCTTTGCATCTTTTTTTATAGCGCTAGTAATATTTTACGTTTACATAAATTCTCCTCTTAGGGGGTACTTAGTTAGGTCTTGGTAGTTTTTAGATTGTGGCTATATAGGTAGATTAGGCGAAGTGCTTAAAAGTATAGGTATAGTTAGTATTATAAAGAAGTCTGTATTGCTAAGGTATATGTAGTCTAAATACTGTGTGGCCCTGTGGGGCCTAATTAATCCCTGCAGATCGCGCCTTCTGGGGCCTATTAATTACTTTTCTTAATAAAAAGGTAATATAATATTAATAAATTAATTATTAATAATTATCTTTATAGTAATACTTTCTATTACTATATTTAATTATTTATTAGAGCACTTTTTTAAATAGATAATACTAATTCCCTTTATACTAATTAAACAATTAAAGCTTTAATTAGTAAGGCATATATATTACTATATTTAGCTAAGATTTAGAGGGGTTAACTCCTATATAGCTTTATAAGAGCCTTAGTAGACCTACTACTCTAAAAGTAACCTACTTATTACTTATTTAAGATAATAATAAGTCTTGATATAACGATATAATAGCTGTATCCTAAGGTGATTATTGTTCATAGGTTTAACTGCGGGTGGCCAGAGGCCCTGACTCCAGTATTTCATTCTTTTCTATTATCCATAGTCTCAATGGCGCAATGAACCCACTGTAAGACCTAATAGCGGTGGGTAGTATCTGCGCAGGCTTCAGGGTATAGATAGAGGCGTGTTCTCAATGCCGCCTGTGTTACCGGGGCAGCTCTCTCTTTCTCAAATCAGGATGCCTTTATGTGCCTCTCCCGTCGGAAATTGAATTGCCTTCTATTCGTACTGTTCCGCCAAGCTCGAAGAGCTCTCCAGCCATGTCAGCGATACCGACCGCCGCAGACTCCGACCAGGATCCCGAGCGGGATGCGACGAGTCCGACTGCCGTCCGGGCGCCAAGGCCGATTGCCGGGCCGATGTTCCGCTCCGTGCCGTTTCAAATCGTTGTTGCTTGCGGCGTGTCATTCACGGCGCCCGGAATGTGGGATGCATTAGGCGGCCTAGGCGCAGGTGGGGCTGCCGAACCGTATGTGCCTCCAAAACGTATCATCCTATGTTTTCATAACTGAAACTATCCCCTAGGTATGCTGTCTCTGCAGCGAATGCATTGGTCTATGGTTTGTTTGCCATTGTCTGTGTGGCCGCTGGTGCCATCAACCACCGAATCGGGCTGCCGTACGGACTGGCACTCGGTGCGATTGGCTACCCTCTTTACGGAGCGGGACTCTACACAAACAATAAGAGCGACAATACGTGGTTCATGCTATTTGGCAGCGCCTTATGCGGGATATCTGCAGGCTTCTTCTGGGCAGCTGAGGCGGCTATCATCATCGGTTACCCATCTCCAGGGGATCGCGCGTTGTACCTCGCCATCTGGCAGACGGCGAAAGCTGCCGGGCCCATTGTCGGCGGTGCTATCAACCTTGGTCTGAATGCCAGCAAAAAGACGACGGGGTCAGTTTCATCCTCGACATACATTGTCTTCATAGTCATCATGTGCATAGGCCTTCCCATCGCGCTGTGCTTGTCACCCCCGAATATGGTATGGCGTCGGGACGGGACTCGGATCAGCACAAATGTTGGCTCCAGTTGGTGATCCGAGTTCAAGGCAGTCGGCAAGTTGTTCGCCAGCCGGAGAATCTTGCTACTTTTTCCGGCGTTCTTTATCAGCTATTTCTACAACGGCTTTATGAGCACTTGGCTGGCAACTTATTTCACGGTTCGCTCCCGCGCATTCTCGAGCTTCTTCACAAATTTTGCAGGAATCTTTAGCTCATTCCTCGTTGCCATGCTGCTGGATAACCAAGGGGTTTTTATCAAGACCCGTGGCCGCATTGTCTTTTCATCAATCATCGTAGTTCTTGCCGGAACCTGGATTTGGGCTATTGTCTTGCAGAAGCAAATCTATGACGCGGACGAGGCACCTGCATATGACTGGTTCACGGGTGGCTTTGGTAAGAGTTATGCTCTTATGTTCTTTTGGCAGTTCGGGGGCCAGGCATTCCAGCAATTTCTGTATTGGCTCGTTGGCCAATATGCCACAGATCTTTCTGATCTGAGCAGACACACAGGAATATTGAGAGGCACAGAGGCACTGGGTCAGACCGTTGCTTGGGCGTAAGTGTGTTCCTTCCTGTGCGGCCACTGCAGCAACACTTTATAAATGGAGTCCTTCCGGTGACCTCTCCGAAATACACCCCCACTGACAGTTTACCTACAGGATGCAGTCAGAGGGTAACGCAAATCACTTTGTTAGCATTGGCCTTAACTTTGCTATCACTATACTCTGCGTCCTTCCCACCTGGATAGTCCTCTCTGAGCTGGAAGGGAGTCATGAGAGCCCAGCTGGTGCGGACGAGGAGGTATCAGGCGGAGAGAAGACAGCGTGAGTTTTAGAAATTGCAATTTACTGGCCGGGGGTACAGAATACGTTGGCGAGGGACGAACGAATATCTGAAGAAAGACTTGATTCGGAAGTTAGCTGACTCTACTGAAGCAAGCTTTGACTCGCCCACCTACCATGCATATTAGAGCTCATACGTCAAGGGCCAATGGAGCAGCGACTGAGATGGTAGTTTGGATCTACTGCAGCAGGAAGCACATAACAGCGCATGATTCGGTAGTTACGACGTAGGCCACGCGCAGAAGGCTCACATTACCTTCACCCAAGAAGCAATATAACTACTGCGCATCCATAGGGGAGCAATTTTATGGATGCCGTTCATCTTAGACTAGGTACGAAGATGCGCCCCAAGAATCCATAAAGCGATGAATAAAATCACATGGTCAACTTTTGCCTATCTTCTACCCAACGCCCAACCAGTTATCCTTAACGTCACTTTATGCCCATGAATCCAAGTTGAGCACCTTGCAATGCGGCTCATCGGCTGAGCGCTGTACAAGCCGGCCTAGGCGAAGAACCTTCTCTCCCGCAGCTTCCAGCGACTCCACAGCTTCTTTCTCGAGAGCAGGGTCCACCGCCGCAACCATTCCTACACCCGTGTTGAAGGTGCGGACCATTTGGTACGGCTCAACGTTGCCGCTCGTCTTCAGCCAATTAAAGACGGCGGGCATTTTCCAAGTCGCCAAATCAATCTCGGCACCGAGGTGGTCCGGCAGCATGCGAGGTACGTTATCAATCAGCCCCCCACCCGTAATGTGAGCGAGACCCTTGACGAGACGACCTTCAATGACGCCACGGAGGCTCTTGACGTAGATCTTGGTGGGGGTCAGAAGACTGTCGCCTACAGTCTTACCTGCATCCCAAGGGGCCTCGTCTGTGTAGGCAACGGCCTCCCTCTCCAAGATACGACGGACCAGTGAGAATCCGTTCGAGTGGACGCCGCTTGAGGCCAAGCCAAGCAGGATATCACCTGCGGCCATCTCATCCTTGCGAGGGAGCCTCTGACTGTTGACCATGACACCGACTGCGCAACCTGCGGCGTCATAGTCATCCTTTTGGTACATACCGGGCATTTCTGCCGTTTCGCCCCCAACGAGCGTGCATCCAGCGTCGATGCAGCCAGCAGCCACGCCCTCCACGAACGAGGCCGCAGTGCTCAGATCAAGCCTGCTGCAGCCGTAGTAGTCGAGGAACATCAAGGGTCGGGCCCCTTGAACTACAAGATCGTTCACGTTCATAGCCACCAAGTCGATACCCACAGTGTCGTGCTTGCCCATGCTTTGTGCAATCATGAGCTTGGTACCAACGCCGTCAATGGCGCCAACTAGGACAGGCAACTGGCCCTCATCGAGCTGAAGACCGCACTTTGCCAGGTCCAGCTCACCACCGAACCCGCCAATCTCGGCATCTGCGCCCGGCTGCTTGGTGGCTCGAACTGCCTTCTTGATGCGTTCAACAAATTCGTTGCCAGCGTCAACACTGACGCCGGCACCGGCGTAGGTCAGAGCCTCTCTCTGTTGCTGAGATCGAAACGCACGGTGGGCGATGTCCTTGCGGCAGTACATCTTGTCGAAATTGATGAGCGGTATTCCCTGCTCATACGCCTTCTTGACGGCGGCCTCCAGAGAGTCGGCGGTGGCATTGACGGCTATGACACGGCCTCCTGAGGTTTGCAACTGGCCCTCGGAAGATAGCTTGGTTCCTGCATGAAAGACGGTGATGTCAGGTGATGTTGGCGAGTTGACTACCATCGGGGTTCCCTTAGCATAAAATCCTGGGTAGCCGCCTGCTGCCACGACGACGGTGGCGCTGAACTTTTGCTCGACCTTCACGCTCACACAGTCGAGGCGAGCCTCGTGAGCCGTGCAAGCCAGCATGATTTCGGCCAGGTCAGTGTCCTCAGACAACAACGGAAGCACGGTCTGCGTCTCCGGGTCGCCGAATCTAACGTTGTACTCGAGAACCTTCGGGCCCTTCGGGGTGATCATTAGACCGGTGAAAAGGACACCTCTGAAAGGGTAACCCTCCTTGCGCATGCCAATTATCGTTGGCTCGATAACTTCATCCTCAATTTGGCGTATAAGCTCCTTGGTAGCGATGGTGGTCGGAGCATAGCAGCCCATTCCACCAGTGTTGGGTCCTTGGTCTCCATCCCCGATCCTTTTGTGATCCTGAGCGGGAGGCAGAGACAATGTGTGGTTGCCGTCGCTAAAGGTAAGAATGCTCAACTCATCGCCTGTCAGGAACTCTTCGATGACAACCTCGTCTCCAGCATTTCCAAAAGCCTTGTCCACCATAATTTCCTTGAGAGCCTGCTGGGCCTCTGCTTTGGTTGTAGGAATGATCACACCCTTGCCGGCAGCCAAGCCAGTCGCCTTGATGACAACGTCATGTGATATGCGGTCGAGGTAGGCAACAGCCTCTTCGTAATTGGAGAAATTCTCGTAAGCCGCGGTCGGGATGTTGTGCCTCTTCATGAAGTCCTTAGAAAAGGTCTTGCTGCCCTCCATCTGGGCTGCCTCCTTGGAAGGTCCGAAGCAAGGAATGGCAGCGGCACGGAAGTAGGCCTCGACTCCATCCACGAGAGGGGCTTCAGGGCCAGGAACAACAAGACCGACTAGCTTGGACTGAGCGAATTTAACGAGAGTGGGATAGTCGTCGGCGGCGACATCGGTAACGTTGGTAACCTTGGGACAAGTCGCAGTGCCTCCGTTCCCGGGCACGGCGTAGATGGACTCGACCAGAGGCGACTGGCTCAATTTCCAAGCCAACGCATGTTCGCGTCCACCATTGCCGATAAGCAAAATACGCAGCTTGCCGTTGGAGGTCATCGTGACTACCATTTGGATCTGCGACAAAGAATCTGGTCGCGAGGAGGGTAGGATGTCCGTTGGTTGGGTGGTAGCTCGATGGAAGTGGCTATGCAGATGGAGTGCTCGAAGATAGAAAGGTTGAGAATGGAAGAAAAGCAAGTATCTTTTTCTTGTTCCACCTCCACTGCCTGAAAGGAGGGGAAAGTTGCGATCCAACAAAAGAGAATAAATTCACTTGCGACGCCGGCGCGAAGTATTTTGTTATCACAAAAAAAGCCCCTCCAAAGTAATGAATGACCCTGGGGCGGGGTGACAGAAAAATGGAACTTCGGTGGGTTAGCGCGAAAATTTCAATTGGAGAATTCTCGTTACCCCACCTTCCTGTAATGGCAAGGGAAGTACTATGTATCACTGAAGCCCTGGAGCTTGTTCTGATACAGAGGTGTATGCGTACACTGCATACGAATGGAATATCGATATAGAGTAGTTAGGAAGGAATCGGAAACCACAAGAGAAGCCCTCTGACCGCCCGCCCCCCCCAGGCTGACTGACTGCCAGGAGGATCCTATGTACCTTGTCTGCACCTGCAACCTCGATGAAACCAACAGGCCGTATTCCATATGGTGCAATGGCCAGCACATTTCAATTAAAGAACCAGACGAGGCAGCACAACGTTCTCCAACTCATCAACACTCCCGCTACTTATGAACAGGGCATATTCATTATATGCGGCACTCAAAATCACGTCTCGACTGGCCACGTCCTCCAGCTGCAAGTCAATCTGTGATTGTTCTGGGCCAAGGACCTTTCTGTACCACTCCAGCGCCAGGTGGTGCAGCCCAAGCATGTGGAATGTTCTTCCGACCCCAAAGAAGGCCTCTCGTCTCTCGTCTGGCGTTCCCGTGAGCTTTGAATGGCAAAACTCGAACACACAGGCGAACCCCTGCATGATCAGGTATTGCCGGTTGTCTGCCTGGCGTTTGAGGGCATGGTGAATGTATCCGAGTCCGACGCTGAGGCTAATCATAGGGTTCAAAGGGTCTAGAGTTCGCGCCCTGAGGAAGTAATCTGTAATGTTGTCGGTCAGTCCATGCCTGCCAAGGCCCCGCCCCTCCAGACTGATTCCCACTTACTTAAAGCGAAGGTGTAGCTTGTCGATGTGAACAAGATATGTCCGTAGAGCATCAGTAGGCATATGTCAAGCTGCTTTGCCTCAGCAGGGCTAGTAGCCTCTCGATGGTTGACTTCACGATGCCTGTCTACCTGACTGCTGGACAGATGCGAGGCATCGATCATCTTGATCTGCCGCAGAATATACTTCTGAGCAGGTCCGGAGTTGTACCAAGATGCAGGAGACTGGCACAACCTGCACAAGGCTGCGAACATACGGTAGGAATCCGAATCCAGCTGCCGGACCTTCATAAAAAACCTTGCCACAGCCACGCACATCTCCTCGTCAGCCAGATATATGGCACACGCTGTCTATCCGTCAGCTATTCCGCCAACGAAATTCTACGTGTGACTAAGCTTACCTGCCCACGCCACGTGGATTAGGAACATGTAGTCTTTCGAGTTCACGAATACAATCGAGTCTCTCGCCGCCTCGCAAACCTGGTATGCCTCTTCGGCACGATTGGCCAATGCTAGACTAACTGCATAATCGAGAAACAGCTCGAGCCACTCGCGAAAAGGAATGCCACGGTAGCCGTCATCCTCATACGCGACGTTGATCCTTCTGTCGTCCAAGATGGATGGGGCTATGTCTGTACGATTGCCTGTCAGCACTGGTGAAGTGTAGAAGAAGTGATCCTGATACCACGGGCAGATTCTTACTCTTCGAAAGCCTCTCAGCTAGTTCTGAGAGGCCTGACTGCGTCCTAGAGGATGCACTGAAAACTACATCGTTGGCAGCACCGAGAAACTTGAGATATTTGTCCCAGGGATAGAACTTCCTGAAAGATCTGAAGTCGCCCACGAGTTCCCCAGCAGCGGCCATCCATTGCGGTATCAGTGAGTGGTCACCCGCCTGTATATCTCTCTTCAGGTTGCGGACGACTTCATATCGCCTAGTCAGCTCGTCAGCTCGGGCACGTTCTTCCTGTAGACGCTGGTCCGGAGCAACGAGCTTCCTGGGTCGATATCTAGCTCGGACAACCCCGTTATTTGTGGGTCT